ATAAGTAAGGGACCCATTCTCTCTTTTTGTGTGTGTGACTCATCTGAGCTAGGTGGTGATGTGGTCAACATCACGCCACCCACCTTTACTTCCTAGCATTGTAACTGTTTACCATTTAAGGCTGCATCGACCTGAATGCCAAGGTTTCATTTTTTTTTTTTTTTTTAATCCGGCAGGCTACATCAGGACCTGAACCCACAACCTTCTAACACGCAGGCGAGCATCTAGCCTCTAGACCATGGAGGCTCCTAGTATGTATAAAGAGATTTATGTTATCTGTCACAGTCCTGGTATGGGCGGTGACGGTTAATCAAAGTTTTAATGTAGTATGCATCTGTGTCACGTTATACTGTTTGTGGATCATATTATACTGTTTCAGTGTCACATTATACTGTCTGTGGATCATATTATACTGTTTCAGTGACACATTATACTGTTTGTGGATCATATTATACTGTTTCAGTGACACATTATACTGTTTGTGGATCATATTATACTGTTTCAGTGTCACATTATACTGTTTGTGGATCATATTATACTGTTTCAATGACACATTATACTGTTTGTGGATCACATTATACTGTTTCAGTGACACATTATACTGTTTGTGGATCATATTATACTGTTTCAGTGACACATTATACTGTTTGTGGATCATATTATACTGTTTCAGTGTCACATTATACTGTTTGTGGATCATATTATACTGTTTCAGTGACACATTATACTGTTTGTGGATCATATTATACTGTTTCAGTGACACATTATACTGTTTGTGGATCATATTATACTGTTTCAGTGACACATTATACTGTTTGTGGATCATATTATACTGTTTCAGTGACACATTATACTGTTTGTGGATCATATTATACTGTTTCAGTGTCACATTATACTGTTTGTGGATCACATTATACTGTTTCATTGTCACGTTATACTGTTTGTGTATTTCATTATATCATTTATGTGTCATACTTTACTGTATGTGTTCACATCACATCGTTTGTGTCGAATTATATATTTCTTAGGTCAAATTCTCTATATATATATATATATATTTGTAAGGAAAACAACCACAATCTGATTATATACAAAAAGTCATGTCTTTACTTAGCATTAGATTTCTGACTACAACATAAAAGATCAATAAAAAATAAACTCAGACATCCATAACGACTGACAGTAACTGGGGCTATCTCTCAGATGGCCTGGCATGGGAGGAAAAATGACCCTTGGCCTGGAATGATGAATGTTTGTACCTGTGTGTGTGTTTGTATGTGTACGTAGATACTGACACAAACACACACACACACACAGGTATAAACATTCATCATTCCAGACCAAGGGTCATTTTTACTCCCATGCCAGGCCATCCATGTCAGTATCTACAGACATACACACACACACATGTATGTATGTGTGTGTACATATATACACACACACACACAGGGTTATTCAAAATTATGGATACACTTTCATTCATGTATATTTCCTTGAATATAGATAACATAATAATAATTTAAACACAAAAGAGAGGGGAAGGTCTGGGGTTTTGAATACTACCACTTGAGTGCACATGCTCATGTCTCCAAGGATCCTTCAGTTCAGTTCTGACCACCATACAGCACAAAATTGTCTGCATTCTTCAGTTCAGCAAAACTGAATCGGCAACATAGAACCAACATTATTAATATGTAATGTACATTCAAGGAAATATACATGAATGAAAGTGTATCCATCATTTTTAGTAACACTGTATATAATCCTGCTGTGTCATTATACCACATAGGGTTCATAGTTGATCCCTCTGTTCTGTTCAATACTGGGCAATCCTTCATATAAGGAATTCTCCATGTGGGTTCTGGGGCCCCACTTTTGTGAAGAAAAATTATACCTGGTGCATTCCTAATCTCTGAAGTCAGAGTACATCTGTCACAGTGGCGAGGAACCACCAGTCTACATACAAGCAAGCCAGATCTGTAAAAAGGACGTGCATGCAAAATTTAAGTTATGGAACAAGACTGAAGTCCAGAAGTGGACAATGCCCAGAATTTTCTGCCAAAGTTTACAGAAGAAGATATATGGAATCTAGTCAAGAATGTTTCAACATTCAGTGCTAGGCTGTCTCTTTGTGGGCGCATGTAGGAGCTTGCACTTATACATACACAGGGAACTCTGTAACATTTAAGCTTACAAGCCTTGAAACTGTATAATCAAGTACAACATTGTAATTAACGGTGATACACAACAACTGAAAAAAAAGCTCAAGTATTGCAGGATTTCACCCACAAAAAATAACTAACAGTGAAACAGCTGACATACAAAAATAATTACTGTTAAAAAACAAAACTATAAAGACGTTTTTTTTTGGCAATGCAAGCAAACGCTTTCATTTTGAAATGCTACAAATCTTATTCATCATCACCATGTAGCGGAATATCACTCACATGATGGCCCACCAGTGAGGGTTTTGACAATTCTCCTGTGTTATTTTTTTTTAATGGCCAAGGTGTCCTTTATATCTTGTGTGACCCCTATGTGGTCAACCCTTGTCACTTCTTCAAGGAACTTCTTCAGCATTCTGAGCCCTTGAGGTTCATCAATGTCGATGTCACCTGACTCTATTTATCTCTCTGACTGGCCTTTTCTTTTCAACTGGTGACACCAAGTGTTGATAGGTCTACCAGGATATTACCTCTCCACCGTCTTCTCAATCTACCTTGTAGTCTACTCCCATTCTTTCAGGAACCATGCCATAAATTACTGTTTCTCTAAGTCACTGTTGTGTCCGATATGGCCAAAGTATTTCTGTATATGAACATGTATGTGCTGTTACAGGGCAATATAAAACTAAATCACCATCCGGTTGCACAATAAAGTCCAGAATAAACCGACATAAATGTTAATAAAATCCAGAATAAACAGACATAAATGTAAATATATGGCACAAAAATATGCTTTGGTAAACAGCATACAAAAATATACATTATATTCAATTTATTTCTTTATGCTTAATAATATGAACTGAATTATGATCATCTTTATTATTTGTATGACAATAATATACAATTACATCAACCATCACAATTTCTAACTCTTACACAGGTGGTATCAAACCACTGCATAAATGAGTACATACATTGTCTCATACGTTTTATGATATAAATAAGGGAGAGATAAATTATAAGGGGAAATACTGTCCCAAAAATCAGGCTTATAAAAATATGAAATGCCAAAATAAATTACTAAGAAATATTTTTTTTTTTAAGTAAGCTTACAATAAACAGGTTTTCCCAGTTATAAGTTACCAAAAGGAAGATTCAATAAAAGCACTCAAATGGTTACCTGTTGACACTGTTGGCTGAACCGAATGAGTATCATATGGCACAAAAGAGGTCATGACAAACTTAACTGTAACAAGTATGCAAGGCTCAAGATAGATCCTTCAGCTATGTGTACATATAGGCAAGCATCTAAAACTTCAGAATAGATAACACAACAATGTATTCATTACAGCTCATTAGAGTCTACTCTTTGGTGAGATGAAACAACCCTAGATGTCTAAATCTATGGAAGCCTTCAGGATTTGCAGAAAACAGCACACCTCGTGCAGAAAAAGTAATGTACATTAAGGCTGATTTCAAGTAGACAAGTAGTAGTAGCAGAAAAGAAACAGAAGAAACAAGGGTATGCATACTGACTACTGCCAAGACACATCAACAAATGAATTGCCTGATGAAGATAAAAACACAGCATGAAAGGAAAAGACAAAGACTGGCACCATTAGCAAACTTTGATTGGGAACTTCAGTTGGAACTGAAGTTATCTGTGATGGATCTGTCTTCATGGTGAGATGTCATAGATCATCATTGTCTCGAGAATGGTGCAACAGGGAGTGAACAGAGAATCTGGCCAAGATTCTTCACTCAGAGAAAAGGCAAGATGGACATATCAAACAGCAAATGGTACCATAGATTTTGGAGCTTAAAAAACATTTACTTAAAAAAATATTTCAGTACACTCTGTAATTGTTCCAAACTTGAGAGGTCAAGCAAATAATTGTCTACTCCCTAAATACTTACACAATTAATTATTTACAATTTTAAACTGCTTTTATACATTCAAGATTATCTTGTCAACATTTGTTATGTAATCATTGACCATTACAAATTTAAAAAACATCTTCATGATATCCATTTAAGCTTATGGGATAATAGTAAAAACGTATAGGTAGGTCTGTTTTCCTGAGATTGTATAAGTCTAAAGAAGAAATAATCCAATTAAGAAATGAATTAGGGGTATGTGTGTTTAGCAACTACAAAGCATTTAATAAACACATTTTTTTTTAATCACAAACAACAGAACAGTCTTATCACAATTTATATTAAACTGATAGAAGAATTAATCAAAGTTACCTCACATTGAGGATAATTTATACATTCATTCGAATGCCTTATGATGATGTAGTATAACTACTGCATGCTTTTTTTTTTTTAAAGATTAACCGTTGTATGTTTTCATTAAAAGTACAACATGGGTAAAAAATTGTTTCCATAGTACCATTCTAGAATGACAAAAATGCACTACTCTAAACAACAAAATCACCAAGATGTTCATAATTATCTAATCTAAAAAAAAAAATGCTTCACAGCTTAACTTATTCTGATAATAAATGTTTCCACACCCCCTCTTCCCCCACCCAAATACACCTATGCATGCACGTACACATACACACACACACACAAAAAATGCCTGATGACCCATATGTTTTTAAACTGAATCCATAACTATGCAGATTTTTATAACCTCTGAGAGCTCCCATGTTGACCCTGCCTAAAACAAGAACTCGAAATGTCCTGGGAAGTCAAGGCTGCCTCCATGATGTTGAAAACATCCCCCGTCAAGTGCTGATTAGTCTATAAAGATCCGGGTCTAGCACCAAATCCTAAATACCAATGGTGCAAAGTTTTTTTTTTTTTTTTTTTTTAAACTACAAAAAGTTAATTTGGAACTTTTCCACAGCCAATAAGACACTTTTCAAAATGGAAAAAATGGCCTCTGTCTTTATGTAGAAAGAGAGCGTAAAAAAGCCATCCAATGCAGATGAAGGTAAAGGAGATGAGAACTAGTAAGCCAAATTGGTAATCATATGGAGCAAGCACAACCATCAAAAACTTGCACATGTCCATCAGCTGATTCAGTGCACTCTGGACGCCATTGACCTTTCCCCGTTCACTTTCCTTTACTCTTTCCATGAAGAGTTGAGTGACGGTCAGGTCAGCTATCCATAGCCCTGTGGTAAAAGAAGCACATACAGCTATAATGTGATACATTCAACTATAACAGATTAAATGGTTGTACATGTATTAATTATATAGGCCCCAAGGAATGCATCCTGCATCAATCTATACACACCCTAGACTTCCAATTGAGGTAGGATGAATAGGCATTTTTAACTTATCACTGACCAGTGTAAAAAACATGAATCACTAAATCTGAATAGACCTTCCGGTTCTTTGTTCTTTCAGTAACACAGGTCTGGTGCATTCTTTTGTAGAGAAATGAGTTATAAGCTAGAGTTGTAGTACTGTTGTGTGCATTCATTGTCTATTTGTTTACTAATATTTCACTACTAGCACAATTATTTGTTTTAGGAATATTGTAATATTATTCCTCAATATTCCCAGGTCACTTTGATGTATATGTGTATGCTGCCCGGTAGCAGTAGCTGTATGTTAGGTTTTAATGGCATACATCTGCCAAATTTCTCTACCTCCCTTTAGTCCTCTGCTTACTTAGACACAATGGAAGCAGATCTAATGATCGCCCATGCAAGCAATGGAGAGCCGGAATATCTGAGGCCATGAACACCAGCATCTAAATAATACACACCAATGAATGTACCAGATGCCTCTTCCAAAGTTGACGTTGAAAGACAGAACAGGGTCTTAAGAACAGAAGAATGTGATACACTGGGTCATTCTGCATCATAAATTTATGATTACCTCAACTGATAAAGGCGATGCCTGCAGCTCAGGGACTATGCACGCAGTTTCTTAATTCTGAAATAAGTTTTATTTAGCTGCAGGTAATTTAGCTGAGTACCACTTTGCAGTGATTTTGACAACATGTTAATTTCGAGCATAAAGAAAGCAATGACAAATTAATGAGTGTAAAATACCTAGTAAAACTAAAACCACCAACAAATTCTGAGGTTTGTTGGTGATGGCCTGTAAAGGATAGGTAACCAATATTTGATTCCTTTAACCCTGGTAATGCTAAAAAAATGGGCCATTAACTTATTAGAATTCTTATCAGTTAAAAGCCAACAGTATTATACAGGTCACTAATACATTTTTTACAAAGTTATTTATGCACATTTATTATATTTTTTTCATATATATAAATATATATAAAGGGAGTGATCACATAACATAAACAGAGTCAAGCATTAAATGGAATATATTACCTGAATAGTGAAAAATATATGTATCGGATGACTCATACTGTAACCCCATGATCTCTATCAATGAGGTTCAGGGGTATTTGATATCAACTTGGCTTTTTGAAAAGCCATTTAGTTTGAAGCAAAAAAAAAAAAAAAAAACTTAATGCTATTTTTAGTTATTATATTCACATCTTGATCTTATAAATGTTTATGCAGGCGTGATCATAGCCAGTAGTTTTAATTATACTCCTCCTACACCGGTCACTAAAGACTTTTACTTTGCAGAACTGGCTCCAGCCGGAGGTGTCAGTTTTGTGGCTTCCAGAGGTGACAGGGTTTACTGATAATATCTCTCTATAGAAAGCATAAAACATCCATGATCCTCTCTCAAATCTGCCCCCATAAGCTGTTTCTTCCCTTCACCTTTAATATAATACTCATTTAAAACCAAAAAATTTTATGTGCCATCTTCACAATGAAAGTAGGTTACATTAAACCCACAGCTGTCTTTGGGCATATTATGTGGTGAGGATTCAATCTCTTTCATGGTGTGACTCTGCACAAACCATGAAAATGTTTATTTTTAAATAAACTAGCCACCATGAAAACTTAACCCTGGCATTCAAGAATCCCAAAACTTTTATTCGTTAACCTCTGAGCCACAGAACTGCACACATACACATGTTTACTGTTTAATTAAGAATTGACATCACAGCACTCGGGAAATTCCCATAAGCGCTCTGTTCCCATTTTTAGCAGCTAGCTAATGATGGTACTAAGAGCACTCTGATTGTATATCCGTCTCACCTTTCCCGTGAGTGCTCATCTTCAACCAGATTCCCTGGTCGGTTACTCCTGGCAGTACCATTCTCTTTAGACCATGATGATCCATCTATGCTTCCTCACTGTTCACTCGTCCTTCCCCCCTTCCCAAGGGTCCTTACAACATCTAGCTTGTCATTCATCAATTCACCACCAAGTTGTGCAGATCCAGCCAGTCTATCTGTCTGTTCCTTTCCTAATATACAGGCATATCCTGGGGGAAATATCCAAAAATGCTAACTACCCGGAACCTCTGAAGCGATGCTTGCTACTCTTCATATAGCATACATATTCATATCTGCTAAGTGAATCCTAGGTGGCAACATCAGCTTTCCAAACTGATAAAACTCTATGTCACTTCTGGTTTACACACTCTAATTTCTGGTTCTTCTTCTTAGCCCTCACCAACTGTAAACTCCAGCAGAAAGTTCTAGTTGTCAGTCCACATCTGGACTTTGGTCTTGTTTCATAACTTGAGTTGTGCGTGCAAATCTGTTTTAAAGACCTGGTTTATTTGTATGCAGACTGTTGGTTCCATGCCTCTCAGGCAGATGCATTCCAACTCTGGAGGAAACACCACCTAATTAGTCGCCTTTTATCACATGCTTGATAGGGGGTCAATAGGTCTATTCTTTTTTTTCCTACTCAAAATGGGGCCCCCGAATCCACACAGAAAATTCTCTTACATAAATTTAAGACTTGGACCCCTATTGAAAAAACAGAAAGAAACATTGAGTTCAGATACAAATGCTCAAGGAAAAATCTGCACATATTGTTTGGAGAGTACCAAAAAAAACTCCTGTGTTTGCTATGCTGAAAAATTAGTGACAAATCAAATCAAGTCCAACCTTTTCCACATCATGACATACAGGAGGTAGGGGGGTCCTTTTTTTACACTAGTGACGGATGAGGAATGAGTTAAGTTGAGTCAAAAATTGACATCACAGCACTCGAGGTATTTCCCTGCACATTCCGTCCTCATCTTCAGCAGCCAACGCAGAGTTCCAATACTGATGGTACCGGTCACAATGGTTATATGTTCATGTTGCCTTTTCTCTGAGTGTAGTGAGCTGGCCAGACCCTCTGATTACACCCAGGTGTCTCATTCTCTCCAGGCCATAATAATTGCTTGTTCCCAAAGAGCCTTGACCACATCTGCCTTGTCATGTATCAATTCACCACCCAGTGGTGCAGATCCAGCCAGTCTGTCTTCTTGTTCATTTCACACCACACCGGCATAGCCTGGAGAAATGATCCAAAGTATGCTCACCACCCGTGACCTTTCCAGTGAAGCTTGCCAGCAATGAGGAATATGATGCCAGAGTTTTTTGTTTTTTTTAAAGACTAATCGGCACTTGGTGGGTAATGTAGTCAACATCATGATGCCTGCCTTTACTTCCCAGGACTATGACTGGTACCCAGTTTAGGCTGAGTTAATCTACGAGCCAAACAATATGAGGTGCATGTAGTATGCTATGCTAGCCACATGTTTTATAGACCAACTGAACACTATCACGTCAGCTACCTTTACTTTCCAGAGCACTGCCTGGTACCTATTTTGGAGTAGGTCATGTTGGAAATTAGAACCAGGGCTTTTTTTTCCTCGCGGTATGCAACGGTATGCAGTTCAAACATGTTTTTTAGGTAAAATCTTTTCCAGCACTTCTGTAACAGACATTATGTAGGCAGTACCGGCACCCTTTAAAAATATATAATTTGTGGTGTGTTGCGACACTTTTTTTTTTCTAGAAAAACACTAATTAACCCTTTCGCTGCTACGTTTTCGGAAATAGCTGTCTGCCCTGTGCTAAGCAATGCAGAAAAAAAAGTCTCTGCTGTGCGCAATACTTTTCTATTCTCAAAACAAAAAATGCGTCGGCAGTGAGGGCTATATTTTGTACACCTAAAAATTGTTATCCTGGGGAGTTGTGTGGTTGGTCCGAGTGGTGACAAGTCAGAAGCACGATGGTGCCCAACAAACTTGACTAATGGAGCTATCACCCCCCCCCCCCTTTTGCGGATGGTGGGGGGGGGATTAATGGGAAGAACTGTTTCCTGTCTGTATCCCAAAATGTGATTGACGAACCTACCACGGTCCCACTTTAATCATAGTTATTTGTAGTCACCATGTTATTACATACCAAAATAATAATAATACTTGAGTCATCCGTTGCTGAAAAGTAGCAGGAACTGAAAGGAAAATTTACAATAATAAAAAGATTTAAAAATTTGGGGGTTGAACACACGACCCTCCCATTCTAAGGCGAACGTGATACCAACTACACTATACTACCGCTTGAAGAATTGTGCTGTGTGAATGATGATAATGAATGATGTGCGCAGACTATCAATAATGTGTCTAATTTTGTACAGTCTATCGTCGCCTGCATGAGCACTGTTGTCTGAGAAATGTTTGAGATTCTCAAAAATAGTAAAAATCTGTCCCTCGATATTATTTCACTGGAGTTTTTAGCAAACAGTCTTTGCTCAAGTACTCTATTTTGAGTTTCTTTGTTCTAAGCATTAGCAGACAGACAACAACAACAAAAAAAAGTTTGTCCGAATCTGTGTCTGTCCATCGGGAAAGACGAGAATTTATAGTGACTAAACTGTTTGAATTTACAGTAGCAGAAATACAGCCAGAGCTGGAGTCATCAAAATTATGCACTACTGGTATCAAATCATCGGTTGACCAAGACAACTGATCAGTTTATTGCTGTTTTGATGGTGCTTTATTGTTGCTGCTCTCTGATTCCGATGATGACGTCGGACAGGCAAACAGCTTTTTTTTAGACACGCCGGTTTCAGCTAATGTATATTGCCCTTTAGCCAATAAAATACGAGGTCACAGAAATCTGTAAGAAAAGTCCAAAAACGGCTTGGGACGTCCATAGCACTGGGAGTCAAGAAAAAAAAATAACGTCCAAAGACGGGCGTAGCAGCGTACGGGAAATCGGGAAAAGACGTCCATAGCAGCGAAAGGGTTAAACACATGACTAATGGGCAGGCAGGAAAGATTGCTTGCCCCTGGGATACCACGGTGACTGCCATGTTGCATTCACTAATTTCCTGTGTGGGTTCTGGGGTCCCAATATTGGGGAAAAAGAATAAACTCAATGCCCCCCCCCCCTTTCCCCTCCACAAAGCATGTCACTGAAAGCAACTAAACAGGGGTTTGCTGAAATCAGACGTGTTCGGCTGAAAAGTGCAGATATATCACGGTCCAGCTGCAAACTACAACATACCATGCCAACAGTCCTATTAACTGTGAACACAGAAGAAGTAGTATTCAGTAATAATGGAAAGTAACCAGCAATGAAAGAAATACAGTTCATATTAACCTTTGTTTTGTTTTTTTCAAAATGGAAATTAATTAGAATTAAAAATTAATAGTAATTAATCAAATACAATGTCAAAATATACTTTCTTACCAAATCGAGCCATGGCAATGCCTGTCAGCAGCAATGCAACTGATAGATATGATTCTTGCTGAATGGTAGCTTCATAACAATCAAGAGTGACGTTAACATCTGATGTAGCATTGTAGGATTGGTTAGAATTCTTCAACTCAGTTGGGTCTATCAACAAGGATGAGTACCAGAAGCAAGATTTAGAAAATTATGAATAATGATGATGGTGAATAATGATGGATAATGCTGATGATGATTTTGATGAGTAATGATAGTGATGATGGCTTACTCTCAAACTATTTTATTCAGTTCTGCCCATGAAATGACACATTACTTTGGCTATATATTTTTTTTTTCAGTTGGCGATTATGCTGAATATGTTATCAGTGCCAAACTGCCAAACATGGACACTTACATCCTCCAATGAAGGTAAAATTGTGACAACAGAGAGGAAAAGCCTAGAAGAGCTGCATGAGTTTCAAGGAAAGACAGAATACGGAATCTGACGAATGCTAGGTCTTACAGGTCATCAAAGAACAACAAATGAAGTGGTTTGGACACCTATCAAGAATGCCCTGGTACTATCTGCCACCAGCGAGCCACACTAAAATGTTACAACGGGTATAGAACGAGTGGAAGACTTCAGAAAATATGGAGTCGTGGCATTAAGAACAGCCATATAGAAATGAACATCAGTCTTAATAGTGCTCTTGACAGAGTTCAACGAACGTTACCCCCCCCCCCCCTCTCCCTCAGAGAAGATGGAGTGATGGCATTAAGAACAGCCTTACAGAAATAAACATTAGTCTTTACAGTGCTCATAACAGAGCTCATCAACGAATGTTACATCTCCCCCTGACACTTTGCTGAGGTACAAGGTGGAAGAGAAGAAGAAGAAGAAGATTATGCTGGCAGTCTACACAAATTATCTAAATTATTAGGGCTATGATTTTGCAACATTAGTCTCTCATTCTGTTTCTTCGGAAACACCTGGCCAGCCAGGCCCTAGAGAAAAATTTCACATTTCAAAAATTAAAGTATGATATAAGTATGCTTCAAAGAGATTGGAAAAGATATCCATCTCATTTGTTCATTTCTCTATTCAAATTCTAACTATAAATTTTACTTTTTTTTTTACTGGAGTCAAAAACATATCCAGGAAACAAATAAAAGTTATGGAAATCTTGAGCCATTTGTAAAACACTATCACTGGAACGTAGGGATAATATTTTATTATTTTCTTTTCACATGTAAAGGTGTAAAATAAAAAAGTGAATATAGTTTTTACACTAGTGGTCATCATCATCAGGGGCCTTGCCGACTGGCGTGGGCGATCATGCCTCTCCATAATCTGTGATCTCCTGCAGCATGTATCAGTTCGTGTGCCAACACACTAAACAAGAGAATGTCAGACAACACAGAGGTAAAACCATAGCCGACCAAGAAGAAGATGGAGAGATAATGTCCGGACAGACCTACCAACACTTGGTGTCACCAACTGGAGGAAGAAAGCCAACCAGAGAGATGAGTGGAGGGGGTGACATCTGCAGCAATGAAACCCAAGGGCTCAGAATGCTGAAGAAGAAGAAGACCAAACAAAGGGCTGGCAAACAATTTTTTTTTTTTAACAGAAAAGTTGCATTCTTTTTCTTCTTCAATCAAAAAATATATATCAGTGCAGTCCATATCTCCCCTTGTACCATACAGTATTGTCTTCACTGAGATTATAGTTACTTTAAGAGCCTTGTAAAATCTTTATTTGGAAACACAGTTTAGCTGAGAAATTTTTTCTGGAAACTTCCGTGCTTAAGTGTATAGCTGATTATATATATATATATATATATATGTGTGTGTGTGTATATATATATATATATATATGGGCTATCCTCTGAATAACGGGCACAAAAGATGGCGGCTGCAAAAACATCCTAACAGAGCCCCAGTCACGTGTCAATCGCGCACTTCCGGCGTCTTAATTTGCGGTTTTCCTGCGACTACCGCCCCCGCCAAGAGTTCCCCAGGCCGCTCACGCATGAAGGCCGTGTGAGCGGCGCGGGGGACTGCTCTTGAACCATCAGAACTGAAACTCTGCAACAGCTGCTATAGATGGAGCAATGTGCTTTGTGGAATGTTCAGAGTTCTAAGATGACAGATCTTAACTCGACTTAGCTGATTTTGTATTTATATTTTTCAAAAAAAAACTGAATAATTGTTGATTATCCTCCAAATTAGCTCCCTAAAATGAGTGCAACAGAATTTTCTAGCATGAATACTGAGCTTTATCTTTCAGCCTGGCATATGTGTCCGAGTTTGGTTTTTTTTTTAGCCAGTTGTTAACAATTTAAATGTGAAACCTTGTGGTGACATAGTGTGGAAAATTTAAATATTTAGTATTTATGGGTCTGCATCATAATATTAAGTGATTTGTATTGCTCATACATTCATACTTTTAGGAAATCTTAGGAGTAGGAAAAAACTGATTTTTAAAAACAATTTTACCTTGTGTGCAATTAGAGTTTGCCGATAATCCTGGATCATGACCCAAAGCATGAGAGAGATTGAATCGACTTCCAGGCATCCAGACAGAAACCACACAAAGGATAAGGCACATTATTTCTAAAGAGAAGCCAAATATCCCAGTTCGAGTCAAACCCAGTCGACGTCTCATGACGGGGTACATAAAAGTACCGAAGATTCCAAATAAAGCTGCGATCCCCATTGCAAGACCCACCATACCTTCTGTTACACCCTGCATCTTTGCATATCCTAAAAAATGAATTAACAATTTTACAAATTATTGTTTTCAAAACAAAAAAACATAAAATTACAAAGGTAATTATTCAAGAAAATGATTACAATGCTAGTTTGTTAGCATCATACCAAGCATTTTATGTATTTGCAACAGATATAACGCTAGCTGTAAACTTTTTCTTTACATTTGTTGAAAAATATTCAGTAATCTTGTTAGGTCAATGTAATGAACAATGTAAGATTTTTGTTTTTTTTTAAACATTAAAGGACCCCTTGAATTTCAATGGTGCATAAAGCAAAAGATTCAGGAGCCATCTCCACAATGAAGACTGGCTACAATGGAACACATACAGGCTCTGTCTCTTGTCTTGGCAGTAGACTCTCTCACACTGCTGTTCGTCAATCTCTCAAAGTTGTCCTCCCACTTGTATTGCTGTTTTACCTTCGAACTCTCCCTCTAATCTGGTTTTCAAAAAAAGTGACATGCCTTTTAATGAGGCTCAAATATTTCACCGAAGTGGTCAAGCTGTCACATCTTTACTGTAAACAGCAACACAGCCAATGTTCTTTTGAGGTTGGGCAACGAGTCATGAATTAAGAACCAACAGGACAGGACTCAGGAGAGTCCCATAAGTGCTCTTTCTCCATCTTCAGCAGCAAGTGCAGAGTACCAATTCCAATAGTACCACCAGTAACGGTCTGATTTTACATCTGTCTTGCCTCTACTCTGAGTATCAGCCAGACTTCCTGGTCACTGCACTATTCTCTTCAGACTGTGACGACCTATTTCCACAAGAAATTTTCACAAGGACTGTAACATAATAAAAACAATTTTTTTTTTAAATACTAGAACACAATGCTGCTTCTGGTATTTCGATCCAGGTAAGAAGACAAAATCTTTGAATGTTCCTAGTCAGCAGTCACCACAGCTCTGCAAACACTTCTGTTGCATGTGCTCAATTTAAATCCTAGTTGTGAATATACAATGAGCATATCTAATTCTGATATGTATGACATATGTTTTAAATTTCCCATGGTGTAACGTCTACAGATATGAAGGTCAACCCAGCCTCAAATGGGTACCAGGTAAAGTCCTGGGAAGTAAAAGTGGCTTGATCATACCACCCATTGAGTGCTGATCGGTCTATAAAATATAGGTCTAGCCCTATATGCCCAGTACGCCTGACAGTGTGAATCAGGGTCCTCTAAATGTTGCACCGGGCAGACTGGAACACCAGCATTGTTATACTACAGGAGGCAAATTCACATATTAGGCAGCCAAAGACAAGAAAATAAGTTGGTCACTTTATGAACAGAGAGGGTCTGAAGAAAATTGCGACAGTCTGGAAGCTTGAGGACTGAGGTATCAAATCAGTACTGGAACAGAAACAAGGAGAATGACTAAAACAATTATTAATAAATTACAAACATTGATTACATAGTATCTGTACAGGATTAAGGAAATTACAGTTTTACAGAATCACTAATATGGAGCTTAGTGAGGTACCTAAACAAATTCCACTGAATCAAGAGGTGAGGAAAACTGACACTGGATAGAACACTCAAAGATAAAATCTGGTAATTAGATTTCTAGAATATCTTTACACTGGAACCCACTCAGCGAATGAGATTAGAGGAAATCTTAAAACACACGAAAGTGAGAATCTGAGACAGCAACAAACTATATGGAAAACACACAGAGTGAACTGTAATAGACGGATGAATAAAAGAAAGCTTGCCAGGAGTTGGTTCATGGTCTTTGCTTTGATGGAAAATATATGATAGAAGAAGATGACAGACCCAGGTTGACAGATTAAAAAAATGCAAAGTAGCATGGACGGCACTGAAAAAAATGGCTGTGGAGAAACAAACTGACATAGCACATGATGAAGATATACAATGTTATTACCAACTGTGACACTGTCAAAGCCAAGTACAGTCATGTACAAACAGGCCAAAGCAATGCCAGCATGTAGGACATTATAGCTTGCATACACTGGCCAGCCTCGATAAAGTCTTTCAAAACTGTTGAACATTCTTGAACATCTGCACTTCTGCCTCTTTACTGTCTTTTCCTCCACACTCTGAATTTGTTCTGGGTCTCCAGACCTTTCATTAACATTCTTGAACAGAAAAAAAGTCAATAGTAAAAGTTTATATTTTTTTTATAAAGAAATAAATTAATTGTAAAATGTTAAAATTAGCAGAAAAAAAATGTATCAATATTCTGTTTTTCCCTCACCAACAATACACTTTTTGTCTATTAAATTTCCATCATAAACTACTACTTACTTATTTACTACATTATTCTTCCATGAGGGGTCCAGATAAGGCAAGGTTTCTTTTAACCTAATAGTTTTATATATTTTAGTGTATCATATAGCTCTGAAATATAAATGAAACATCAACAGATAAAAATCACTTGAAAGTTCTGTGGACATGATAAATGGTGACAATCAAGTAATCTAGCCTTTGAGCTAGTCATGAAAACTGATCATCCCATTACACAACAGTGTTCTGTTTTGACCTTATTTATACTTATTTAACAAATGCTGCTTGTCTGTCGGCACAGTGATCATGTTCAAAATCCTACTGGCGAAGATTTGTATTACTGTCTTTTGCTACCAGCCTAAAATTGACACCAGGAAGTATTCTGAGGAAGTAAAGGCAGATTGTGTTATACCAACCACAACCTTTATCAAGTGCCGATTGATCTATAAAAATATACATGGGACCAACGACATATGACCAATATATGTCCCACAGCAGGAGAACAGGTCTTTCGATGTTCCATTTTTACTGCAAATCTGTGCATGCTAGTTAGACACTTGCCTACTACTTCTTCTTTTCTCCAGTATTATGTCTCCCCCAACACCCCCTCCCCCCACCCACCCACCACCCCCACGCACACACATATGTACGCATGCATGCATGTACGCACACACTCCCTCTCTCACTCACTCGCACACACACACACACACAGAGGGGAAGAGAGAGACACAGAGAGAGTACACTTGATGTCAATTCTTCAAGTCTTAGACTGTTACAAAGAAATGAGAGTATTCACATTGACTACTTTAAGAAACAGTCTTTGTTCTGTTACATTTTTGGAACTTGTCTACTTGTGCATTTCTCAGTTGAACAGTTTCTTTAAAAAAAAATTTTTAACTTCAACTGGAAGATTTTACATGTTAAGGTGAGCTGGTAAGAACAGGTAGCAAATACATTTCTAAAGACACTGGGGGACAAAAACAACTACAGAAAGCAATAGTTTAAAAAACTAGACTGTCTTACTGAAAATACTACACATTAAAACGTAGATAAAAGGGAAACAGGATTTTGGTCCAGAGGTAGACAGAGCTCAAGAATATTGATGAGAATGTGCAAAAATGGACTACAGTTATCACATTCTTCATCACAAGTCTTCCTCCCCACCAACCTGTTGAAGTTTTGCGTAAAATATATTTTCTAACATCAATTTTCTACTGTAAGTTCTGGTATTCAGTTTAACTGACTGAAATCTTATGTTATTAGTGAGTGAATTCATGTGAAATTAACTGGAATTATAAGTACTGATACCCTTTTATATCGTGTTTTGAAACAGAGAACAACGGGTATACCCTGATGCTCATCAACAGTGAATAACTTGCACTTATCCTAACTACAAGCATGTGGTATGTGATATGTTATTTCATATACTTTCCATGTAATGTAAACTCTCATTGCAAAGTATCTTTCAACAAAATAAGCAAACAGTAATATTGCACACAACAATCCACATAGTCTTAGATGGAAAAACAAAGCACATCTCACATATACGAGTCAACACCTTCCTCATTCTGAAGCACATAATAATAGTGAAAGGAGCTTACAGATAAATGTTCCATAATGTCAAGAGTTGTCGTTCTTAGCTTGCTTTTTGTTCCATCCAATGTGTTTGAATTGTCTTCTTTATGTGCACCCTGAGTGTCATCGGCAGCATCCAGAGCTTCAAAACATTCAGAAAATTTAAAATGAAATCACTATCATTCATGAGAAAAGAATACTTAAGAGGCTGCCTTAAATCTTATATTTATTTACAGCAATAAAGTATTCTGTTACTGGAGACATTTTTTTAAATGTCGAAATAATATGCCATTACTGACAGTTACAAATGTCATTGCATCACTGACATGAATGTACTAAATTTTAATTTAAATATTTGAGTGACAGAGGATTTTAGTTCAATTTTAGTCAATGTAATATGCTGTTCCTGACAGTAAATGATGTCACTGCATCACTGAAATGGATGCATTAAATTGTAATTCAAATATCAGTGACAGAGAATGTGCCAACATCAAAAATACATAAAGGGTCACTACCAAAGCAGCATTAGGTGATTTATAATGAAGATTAAGAATCAACTCGGGAATTCCCATTAAGATTCCATCCTCATCTTCAGCAGCCAGCACAGTTCTGGTACTAATAGTGTCACCTGATCTTGTGAAGACTTCATACATACTTTCACATCCTCTCTTTAGCACGCAGGTATTTTAGGTATTTTTTAACTATTTTTATTTAGTTAAGAACACTTATGAAAACCTAAAGATATATGGTTTTAACTGATTGCACCGACACTGATGTTGATAATGATCCACACACACACACACATACAAATTGACACACAAAAATAATATGGTAAGTAAACCATTAGAAATCTGTGAGTATCAATACAAGCTAGTTTATACAAATGTTAGCAACGTCCGTGGCTTAGGCGTTGGAGTCTGACTCGTAATTCCAATGTACCGCGATCGAAACGCGATCGATTTTTATCATGGTATGAAGCGTCGCAGGTCAACCCAGCCTACAATGGATACCAGGATGGCTGTCCTGGGAAACTAAAGACGGCTGGCGTAATGCTGACCACATTACCCACCTAGTACCGACTGGCCTGTAAACAAAATATGGGATGTTCTTCCTATATGCCTGATGCGCCTAAGGCGTGAAAAGAGATCTTTACTTTCACTTTAGTTTATACAAATGTTAACTAATAAAGTGTTTTTATTTTTTTTTTAAATAAAGACTGCATAACCATAAAGTTATAAATAGTGAAGTTATATAACTGCATGCACTTTCTTATTAGAAACTACAAAAATACTAACCTTCAGTATTATCTTCAGCAGTTAGTGCTGGTAACTCCTCATTATCGTCTACAACATCCTCTGCTACAGCTGAAACTGAAATAAAACTAATGTAATCAGTTTTTAATCGTACTATTTTTGCTTTAGAAGTCTGGGAACAGACAAGAATTAATTTGCTTTAGCAGAGATGCCCAGGCTAAATTTCACACAGGCAAAGTCAACAGCGGCTCTCTAATTTATTTTATATAAATGTTGAAAATACTGTGTACAAAGAAGGAAACAAGTGCTGAGGTACTGAAAGCTGCAGGTGCTACAATATAACTGAGCAAAACCACCTGACAATGGAAAGATATATGAAATTTATATGGGACATACTTACAGAAGCAGTGGACAAGGGTTAAAAATAACTTCATGAAAACTAGACATGAGAAGCAGAGAAAAACATAAAAATATGCTTCAGAAATTCAAAGCAATGTTTCCCTGTTGTAAATTTGAAGAAAGAAGATACTAACAATAGATTGCACAATTTATTGCCTGGCATATTTCGCTGTATCTCGTCACGTGCATACCACAGTAACAATTACATAAATGAAGCAAATAAGTGAATCCTTTATGCACCTGACGAGATACAGCGAAATATGCCAGGCAATAAATTGTGCAATCTATTGTTTGTGTCTTCTATTTTAAAATAAAAATATGCGTGTAGAAAGCTTAAATAACAACAAACGTAATATATGCCATGCCAAACCACCATTTTAGAGTATCTAGCTTCATTTCTTTCAGTCTGCCCCACCATTTATTTGTTTTAATTATTGTTTTTCGTGCCTCACTTGTCATCAGATGGCCAAAAAAAACTTATTTGCTGCTTTCTCATAGTTGCAAATACTGTTATACTTTCATCAGCTTTTCCCATGTAAATGAGGCCTCTATGAGCTTTTTAATTTGTTCACTCACTTTAAAAATTATAAAACATACAACAGAACAGGTCTGACATAACATTTCTATACTCTCTTTCTTATTTTAACTCTTTGAGTCCAGGGGGTTTAGCATCACAGGCCCAAGGGGTAGTCAAGAAAAGATGTAAAATCAGCGCATCTTGCGTTCATTGGGCTTCTAGGTAGGAATCTATGAACGTATGACGCGTTCCTTGGGACTCAAAGAGTTAAATATCATCATTTTTATTTGAGTTATAGATTTATACAGTACTTTAAATTTTAGTTTACTTAGTAAAAATATAAATATAAAAATAATACTTACATAGTTGATCCTCTTCTACCCTGGGGTGTAGAGGTTTGCCACAGAGATCACCAGACGTCTCTGTCAGCTGTTTTCTTTTTGGCTTTGTTCCATTCTAGCCCTCTGTGTTGTCTTCCCAGCAAACCCTGAGTCATCCGTGTGGTCTGGTTCCCTGGTCCCTAGTCTTACATGCCTGCCATGGTGGCCGATTCTCTCCCATTTTGCACCCATATCCAAACCATCATAACTATGACTGATCCACTCCAGTTTGTAAGGCTTGGGTTGCAAGATTACGTCATATTTTTCTGATTATGAACTTTGTCCCTTCTTGTCAGTTGGACCACCTTTCTCAGATACTTAATTTCTGAGGCCTTAAACTGGCTTCTGTGAACTGTTGCTAACACTAACACCTGTAGGTCAGACCTGGCCCATAGGTAGAGTGGCATACAGCCATTTTCATAAACTCACTATAAAAATTCAAACATACACAAAATAGTCTTCTTGTTTATGTTGACCAGCTGTAAACTCTGGTGGAGAGTTGTGGTTGTCCATCCACTTCTGATCTTTGGTCTTATTCTAGAATTTGAGTTTTGTGTACACATCTATTTTACAGACCTGGCTTACTTGTATGCAGACTGTAGGTTCCTCGATGCTCAGGAAGATTTGCTCCAGCTTCAGAGGAAGCAACCCTAATTAGTTGCCTTTTAAGACATGCTTGTTAGGAAGGTAGTGAGGTCTTTTCATTTTTCCCTCAAAAAAAAAGGGGGCTAAAGAACCAGCCACAGAACCCACATTGGAAGACACAAATAAGCTATGTATTTTTTTAATAAATATGAAAGTATGTTGAAATAAGCACAAGATACTGACCCTGAGATTTCTTGAGGTCCTTCTTTTTCTTCAAGGCTGGAACAGTGTTATACACCTTCCACAGAAAGTAGTACTCTACCACTACAGAACAAAGATTCCAGCCGCCAATAAACAGGGCCCCAAAGTGTACCCCAGCAAAAGACATGATCAGACCTGTGGCTATGGGAGCTAAGACCTGTGTGGTAAGGTCAATACGCCGTAAAGTTGCGGTCATAGCTGGGTAGGAAACAATCAAAGAAAAGTCACTTTTCATTAAAATCTATAAACAATTTGAACATTAACCAAATGACCCATAATTATCAAGTAATGTCATTTTAATGTAATCGTTGATTAGTTTATTTTTATCAGTTAAGTTAGTTGTATATCCTTTACATGACGTTGCAGAACCAACCCCAGCATTTTTGGCTGTTGTGCTTTTTCTAGGCAAGTTTGCGTCCAGTAGTTTGCCATTACTTTCTGGACAGTCTGCTTCTCAATATCCACTGTCGAAAACCAACACAAAGCGCAAGGTCTACAGCTGGGATCGAACCCAGCACCCAGGCATTAGAAAGTTATGTATTTTTATCAGTAGTCATTTTAAAATTTCTACATGCAGGATTACCCTGTTATTATGAGTTTCTAATTTTTAGACTTATAAATACTGATACAAGGCTGTAACTGTCTATGTTTCATTTTTTATTTACTTGAGCATGCATTGTACTGCAATCAGTTTATCTTCTTTTCCTTCTTCTTAAAGTCCATGTCATGTGGCATTGGTAGTCATGCCTATCCACAACCTTCTATCTTGCATACTTTTAATCAACTCTGACACAGATGATCCTCCATGCCATAATAATATTCAATTTACAACACACATCTCCAACAGCACAGACAATAAGCACTCCCCATTAAATTCCCAAAATGTAGAGCCATACCCCAGCACATAATTATATTTTCACATAATCCTAAAATACTAATCCTATAATGTTTTATTTTCCTGAATACTTTCATTGTTCTTCCTGCATCATATAAGTTTTAACATTCCAGGTGTCAGTTCTGGAGATTTTCCTAGGTGACAGGAGGTACATCGATGATCTGGACTCTCTAGCGAAGTTAGTTAAACCTGACTTTCGCGGCGGCCGGGTGACGAACTCCTTGTGGTCAGGGTTCACTCCCGGGGGTAGGCAGAAAAGCCACATTTCTCCCAGATTAACGGTACCTATAATGGAATCAAGGCCGAAGGGTTGCGATATCCATAGTACCGAGCCAAAGGGTTTACAATTCATGGTTTCTGGATACGTTAAAAAAAAAAAAATGATCTGGACTCCTTTCAGCTTTCTTAGCACTGTGTCATAATTCTTCTACTAGAACAGCCTTCCCTCATCTTGGTTGGCTGGGTTTTTCTTGGTTTTTTTTGTTCTAAATTATGGTTGACTGGATTTGGTGGCTATTGTTTTTACAGCTAACCCCAAGTCTACCATTAGTCACCTCTTACCAAATGCATGGTAGTGTGCAGTGTTACTATTCTTTGCTTCCTGTGGTGATACACGAGCAGAAGTCACATTATACCTCTAATTCTCTTGTCTGTGTTTCTGGTCTACTTTTGTTTCCTTAGACTTGTGGGTTCCAGTACAAAGGCATTCTAGTTTATCAGGTTTTCTAAGTCTCATATTCTTAATTTATAAATTCATTTATAAAGGTTTTGAATGGACAGAATGACAGCCTAATCAGATGCACACACAAAATTCAGCACTATGAATGAAACCAATTCACCATCATCATGCATAAAGTCCTTTGCAGAATGCTGCTCTCAACATGGCTAGAAGGACAGACCTTGAGCTTTGCTTTTGAAAAACAAATGATAGCTTACTGAAGATCTTTTATAAAATAATTTTATGTAGTGCAACTGTTATATTTTTATAGTGTTAATCTAATTGTAATGCAAAAACAATATGTAAATTAGCTCCCCAGCCACCCACCCCCTCCCCAATCCCCACCTCAAAAGAACCATACATTATAATTGATTATATTCAGAGTCATATATCAAAAAGCATGTTTCACTGTTTTTTTCTTGCTCTAGCTTCAAACTGTGGTAAAATGCAAAGGTCAAATAGAATAGCAACAAATCTAATGCAAATCTATAATTAGATTTCACAACAAAACTAAACTGTCAACCAATTTAAAACTTCTTCTTTTGTTCGTTTCAAATAAATTATCTATATGTGCAAAGTTGTATGAACTTCATCATCTTTTGTCATTCAATTAGCAGTCTTTAAAGTTTGGCTTCCATCGGTGTCTCTCTTGGCAATTTAAATCTGAACACTGTAAACAAAATCAGTTTACTTCATCAGATGCGAATATTTATTAGCTTGTGTAACAACTGTTGGCAAAGAAACAAATCAGGGAAATATCTACTTGTAAAAAAACAAAGCTGTAGAAATCAAGGAAAAACAAAAGCAAACTTAATAAAAGTTTATAGAAAATCACAGAAATTTGCTAAGTTGGTACAGTTATCAATCAACTAGAGTTACTGCACAAAACTTACTGGCCAGTTTATCAAAATCTGTCCCACATATCTCAACAATCCAGTCTTTTTCCACGGCAATCTGGCGAGCCATGCTAGTCAGTTTTGACAACACTGATAGAAGGATAATAACAGTGTATGTCACATACATTGTCCAGTCACCAAAAGACAGAATTTCTGACCGGAAAACCAAAAACAGATAAACCACAACAGCACAGGCCACCACAAATAGGTTCTGCAGAACAAGAGCAGTCTGTGCAGCTGTCAAAAGGAAAAAAAAGGAAATCATTATTTATGACATAAGAGAATTTTTTTTTAATGTGTGTTTTTTTTTTTAAATGTATTTGTATTTAACAAACAAAATCAATATAAAAGCTTTGTGTCACATTACAAAAGTACAAACAATTAGGAATTTAAAATATTTACCTTGGTAGAGAAACTTTACTTGTTTTTCAGTAGCAGAAATATTTTTTTTTATTCTTTCCTTTCAAACTGCCAAGTCAAATGAGAATCGCAACAAATCTAATGCAAATCTATAATTAGATTTCACAACAAAATTAAACTGTCAACCAATCTAAAACTACTTCTTCTTTCATATCGGCACTCAGTGGGTGATGTGGTGAACACCACACGGGTTGTCTTTACTTCCCAGGACTTTACCAGTATAATAATAGATAAGCTTCAACCTGATAAGCTACACGAAATGTCAATACAATTAATTCTTAAAACTCTCCTTTGCTTGGGAAAATTATCTGTTTTATCATTTTTTTTTTTTAAGCAGCAGCAAACTACAAATAGGCAGTGTGCATAGGGCTAAAGGGAGAGGCCCATCCATCACAAGTGATGATGGTCAGTTCGTTCATCCGCTAGAAGTGGAGTAGGATTTGCATGTGCACAGATGGCTAACAAGACCAGTCTTGACATGGAATGTTCTTCAGCAGTGTGGACAAGGCATTTGGGTCACATCAGTTGGAGGATTCAGTTCACATCTTGTTCTGGTCTATGCTTGTTGTACTGCTGCTGCAGTTCTTGCTACCTACCACACATGCTGCTGCTCCACAATGAAGAAATGAGCTCCAAGATGAACAGCTGCATGCAGTGACTTTGCAGATATCAATATCAATGGCAAATACCTTGAGCAAGATCTTAAGACTGTCCTAGAAATATTTCATCAAGTTTTTTTTTTGTTAGCTCACCATAGAAGATTCTTTTATGGCGGTCAGTGGTCTGACATTTTATCAAAATATGAGAATAAAACCTCAACATAGAGAGTACGGCTGCTCTTTCTGCAATGTCAAGATAAAGCACACTGTATATACTACCAGAATATACCACCATATCTAGTATGAGCAGAAAACCACTCTGATTCTAGGGAGGGGGGGGGGGCATTGTATACGGCCTGAAAATACACATGATTTGAGAGAAGATAAGACATCTTGTATAAGTCAAAAAAACCTATGACTACAGGGAAGATGAAGTATACTGTGTGGACAAAAAAAATGCCCCTGATTCTAGGGAAGATAAAGCATATGTAAAGGCAAACAATACCTATGATTCTAGGGAAGATAAAGGATACTGTGTGGGCAGAAATTACCACAGATTCTAAGGAAGATAAAACATTCTTTGTGGGAGGAAATTACCTCTGATTCTAGGGAAGATAAAGCATATTGTATGAGCAGAAAATACGCCTGATTCTGGGTAAGATAAAGCCTACTGTATGGGTAAAAAAATACCTTCAATTCTAGAGAAGATAAAGAATACTGTAAGGGTATCAAAATACCCCTAATCCTAGGGAAGACAAAGCATACTGTATGGGCAGAAAATATCGCATTCTAGGGAATATAAAGCATACTGTATGGGCAGAAAATACCCCCGATTCTAGATAAAGCATACTGTATGGGCAAAAAATGCATATGATTCTAGGTGTCAGAACCCTGTTTTGCACAGTCATGTGGCGGTGTAGACCATAGAGATAGTGTACTGTGTGTATGGGTAGAACCAAAAGTTGACACAGAGGTCAGCACGATGGATGGCATGACTGTCCACATATGTGCTGTTGATACTTAAGGGAAACTACCACTCAGCGAGACCTAGTGGTGACCACAATTAAGTGCTGAAAGAGTGAACTCTTTCTGGCAGTTTCATGTCATGTTTGTTGCATGACCCGACCTGAGGGAAATGACCCTGACAAAAGTCCCAAGGTGGGAGGCCACAGGCATTCGACTAGGAGACTTGAGACAGGAAGGATGTGTGTAGTTAGACAGATACAGAACCTTAAGTGTTTAGATTAATACTTTAGTGACCGCATAGATTGTGTTGAGTGTTACGTTATGGTAGGATAGCTTCTTTGTGTTGTGTAGCGTTTAACAGTGCAAGGTGTTGTGTTATTTCTTAATACGTAATTAGTGTTGGTATATTCTGATCAGTAGAATCAAGTAGAGATATGTTTTTTGTGATGATTTCTAGCCTTGGCACACTGGCCCTGCACCTGACAGAAGCTCTGCGATCCTGGTGAGATCCAGTGAAAGGGAAAAAAACGAATCCCGCAGAGGTGTGGTTTGCAAACCAGGGATTTGCCCTGAGAGAACGCACTGGCCAGTGTAGTGAATGTAAAGCTCACTCTGCCGGGGTTCCAGGTAACAGGTGGCCATACAGTGGGAAGTCAACTGTCATTTTGCCAATCTCTGATTTACATTAAAAATTGACATGTGTGCTCTGTGTGTGTCCAGGTTCAATGTATGCTAGGTTAAGATTGTCAGAGGCCCACCTAATGAGCCACGGACCATCAAGGTCAATTAGAGGTCTGTGACACTAGGGAAAATAAGGCTAACCGTATGGGAACAGCACACTTAGGTGTCTAGAGGAGATAAAGCACACTGTACGAGCAGAATAAATATCTGAGTACAAGGAAGATAAAGAACACTATGGGAAGAAAATACCTTTGAGTCTAGGGAAGATAGTTCACACTGTTTAAGAAGAATATACCTTTGAGCCTAGGTGTGGCATCCACTATGTCCCCTACTAATGCACCAAACAAAAGCACACTCAGACCCATGCTCAAGCCGTATGCTGCAGTCAGCTGTAGGGAATCTGGGCTGATGTTGATCAGAAACAGACCAACTCCAAATGACCACATCCTGTCCCCCTGGTAACATAGTGAAAAGAAACCAATAGAAATATTCAGTTCTGCTAAGAGGTTACATTATCTAACTGATGCTACATTATCTAACTGATGCTACAGTGCCTAACAGTGCCTTAGGGGACGCATTAGCGCTGTCAATAAGAGACTCACTTTCAAATACAGCTGTGACTCACTGCAGCACACGGCCGGTATTCAAAACCGGGCGGTTCGCAGGGTTCTCCCAGCCTCTAGGTAATGGGTACCAGAGTTAAAACTCTGGGGTTAACGGAGGAACGTCGCTGTAACTACGGAGTTTCATGCGGACGGCGACACAGGCGGACAATTTCTTATCAGCTGTCTGTACTGGTGGCAGAGCACTTATGGTTTATTACCCTGTGCAATGTCGCTGGTTCACATCTCCTGACTTTACCTTTACCTTTTAGCTACAGTGCCTTACTCATGCCACAGTGCCTAAATGATGCTACAGTACCTAACTGATGCCACAGTGCCTAACTGATGCCACAGTGCCTAACTGATGCTACAGTGCCTAAATGATGCCACAGTGCCTAACTGATGTTACAGCACCTAACTGATGCTACAGTGCCTAACTAATACTAATTGCCTAATAGATGTATCATTGTTTTTATCTGAAGCAACAATACATAATAGATACTACCTTATGGAACTTATGCTAATCTGTTTAACTGAGGCTACAGTCTTAAATTATGCTACAATGTTTAACAGGTGCTGCAGTTTTAACTTACTGTAGTCTCCGACTTAGTAGAACATTATCCAACTGAACAACACAATTACTGAAAATTTGATACAACATTATCTATCTGAACAACACAGTTATTGAATATTTACCCATGCTGAAAGAAAGTGACTCCAGTAGACAAAGAAGTTGGTTCCAGTCAGCCATTGCTTGCATGATACTGGTAAGTATAGATCAGAAAACATGAAATATATTACTTTAGCTCAGTTCAGTCTCATTGGTTTTATAGTTTTCAAATGGGGCAATGATAGGTATTCTGTATTATTTGCACTGGTAAATCAACAAAACAATCAGGGAAAGATATCAGTCACAAAAAGAAGTACAACTAGTCAGCTTCACGTCATCACAATCACAAAAGACAAATCAATATTGTGGCTAAAAAACATTCATCAGCATATTACACAAATACAGAATGTTACCATTACAAAGAAAAATCATTTAAATCACTTTACTGTATTAAGCTGGGAACTCTTATGGGATAACCCATTTTGGGACCATGATTAATGACAAAATGATAACAATATTTTTTTTTTAAAGAAATCTGTCTAGATATATGTCTTATCACAAGATTTATTTGTGTATTCAGTGAATATAATATGCTTGTGATATTTCTTATGTTCCTTATTGTGTCCAATGGGAAGCTTCTGGTGTCATGTGGAGCTGAAAGAGTTTAACTACTTTTTTGTTGAGAAAAAATTTTTTTAGTCTCATTACTTTAACACTGCTAGACTCAAGCAGCCATCTGAGTGTACAACTTCTTAATATGTAAGCATTTAAATTTCAACTGCCAGCTGGGTCAGACATGATTCTGAAATGTGGCTCTGTACTTGTCCACCTTCACTAAGTATATGCATGAGATTAACTATAATTTGTAACTAAAGAGGATTAGAAGAAATCAAACCTGATATAAAACCATTCCCTGATAGCAATAGGGAAACCAGCTTGAAACCTAACATCTCAGATTGATACAATCACCTCATTAAAGAAATAGTTAACTTTGATGCTAGCCTAGTAACACACCAAAAACTTAATCACTAACTAGGTCTGATTTCCACCTAAACTCACAGAATTGGATAGGTGATTTTACAGAGATCTGCAATATGCTACACTATTTTACACATGAAAAGCTGAGCTGCAGAGATGATCGCTGATAAGATTGGTGTGGAAATAGCTGTAGTGCATATAATCACTAAATCACTCCCTGCTTTGCCAAAATCAAGATTATATTAGTTGTGCTTTATCTATTAACTTCCATTTTTGCCATTCTCTGAGAAGAAAGTTTGCTATCCAGTGCTCGATTGGTAGAACTGAATATTGCAAATCTACATTCTTGGGTGACCTCTTGCTTTTGTGCCAGATTTTTTTAGATGTAGTACCTGTGTTGGTAGTTGCTATGGCTGCATTCTAATGAGATAACCAAATCACTTGAACTTCTGCTTCTCAATTAATTTGATGCAAAGTGCTGTTCCCACAGTCAGTCTGATAAATCATTTTTTTGTTTTGTTGCAGCAGTCTGTCTGATAGTATAATTTTTCCATCAGTTTTGGTGAAGTTGGCAGCTTTCCTCAGGCATCTTATCTCACTTGCATTACTTTTACGTAGATTAGCCTCTAATAATGTCCATGTTTGGCACTGACAGAATAGTGTTGGTATGAATATGCCATTTAGTATCTTTTCTTGACATTCTTAATTATACTGAAAGCCTTAACAATGGTATCAGTTTATTTATTAGTGGAAAGTCTCCTTGGTATCTTGTTTCTATTTCCTAGTCTATTCTGGAGTCTCCAATATACTTTCTTGAAATTTAAACTAAACAGAATTATTTCATATGTATTTTCATGTTACATCTTATTCATGTACAGCTTAGCCTGTTTACGAGCTCTTGTATTTTAGAGAATGCATTGTAGTATATATTTACTATTCAGTCTAGACTCTTTATCTCAAAACTTAAATGTATAGAAGCAGCAGTAGTATTAGTTTTAGTAGAAGTAGCAGCAGCAGCAGTAGTAATAACTGTTGCTGTAGTAGTAGATATTATTGGTAGTGATGATGTTACTGTTGTAGTAGCAGTAGTATTTGTTCCTCATGTGGGCTCGGGGCTCCACTGGGGGGGGGGGGGGGGGTGGAAACAAACTTACTTCCCCATAACAAGCATGTCATAAAAGGTTACCAATTAGGGTGTTGCTGAAAATGCATGCATTTGGTTGAAAAGCACAGATATTGCAGCCTAGCTTTAAACCTCAACACAACTTGTCAACTGCACTTTTAAGGAAGAATGCTGAAGTAGAAGTAACAGTACAAGGGAAAGTCAATTAAAAAACATAAATGGTTACAGGATGAGGAAAATGTAGTCAGTGATTGTTAAAGGTATCACTAGGTGACAGCAACATCATTAGGTGGCACTATGTGTTGCATGGACATTCGCAACACAGAAACAAAATGGTGACTGTACTAAGGAGTGTACCCCAAAAACACAATGTGCTGTAGTGAATGTTGCAGAAGTTGAATGTGAAGAGAAAATGTGGTTTAAAAAACAGAGCACACATTTCTATGCAACAGGTTAGAGAGGACTGATAAAACAATGGGACAAGTGCATCAATGTTGGTGGAAATTATGTTGGAAACTAGAGGGACAGTCTGTGTGTAAAAATAAATGGTTTTCAAGTTGTTATCCTATTTAGTTTTTTTTTTTTTTTTAAACAACCATTTGTGACTTACTTGTTGACTTCCCCAAATAGTACACGTTCTGCTGATAGTACAGAGACCAGTTAGTTAGTTGTGCATTCTTTACAGTACAGGGTGTTTCAGAACCAACCACGACAATTCTTTGGCTGTTCTGGGTTTTCTAAGTAAATTCTAAGTTCAATAGTTTGCCACTGCTTACTGAACAGTCAGCTATCAGTATCACTGTCAAAACCAACGGAAGACAAAAATCGTCAACAGCTGGGAGTAAACTGGCATTACGAAGCACGTTCGCAATGCCTAAGCCAGACAGACAGACCCTGACATAAATCAAATCAGTAAATTATCGCCATTATATTCCTGACTACAGTGACAGTCAACAGTAACAGTTAATACACAGGTACATAATATAATAAATAGTTTATATTACTTTAGTAACAAAGTGTTATTTTTGTAATTACTAGTAGTAATCACACACACACACAATTGAGAGTGAAAGAAAAAGCATTTTTAAACAAATAGGAAGAGATGCATCATAACAAGAAGAATAGTTACAAAAGTATGCATATTACAATATATGTCTTGGAAGACTCACTGGATAATAATCATTAATTTAATTCATAAATAAGGTTATCAATCCTGATAAACAAACTCATTTTTATGTTATTTAGGTTTGCATCACATCATTTTTTTTTAAAGGCAACAACTTTAGTCAGAGCCTGCTGTCCTGAAAGCAATGACATATGGTTGCTAAGGGGTTCAGCAAAAAACTTGAGAGTTATTGACATTGAACATGATAAATTTAGGTCCAGTTTTCACTTGGGAACACGCCGCCATCTTGTTTCTGTGTTTTCCATTATAAATTTTTGGGGCAACTTTCCGTCACTGAAATGTGAATATCTCCGCTTAGAATTGACATACAGACTTCATTGAGGTATCGTTGGACTCGGGTTTTCAACCTCTATTCAGCTGTCTTGGTTTAAAAGTAAAAAACCTAATTTTTACATTTTGACTAAAATCCCTATTACTACTTGATCATCAGTCATCAGGTTAATTAATGCGTTTCCACATTCAGTCATTCAGTTGTTTTACATATGAGTTACCTATACAAGGCATTATGATGACCGGGCCGACCTCAGGTGTGATATGTATTGTATATCATGGTTTCGCCGGTTCACACTCAGAACGAGTTAACAGTATCATCCCAACCAAACGTTTATTCCGCGTCATTCTCGCGGGTCTCTATGTAGTGAGATCGGACGCCCGTGTGCACTGTTTGTTGTGCACGTAAAAAATCCCTTGGCAGTTGAAAATCGAAAAGAGTAGCCTAACGGCGCTGCCCTGGCAACATTTGCAATTACAAATCTACTCAAAGTATTTCAGGATCCTCGCCGGTGCTACAGAGCCTGTGCACTGTGCTGAGCTTCTTCGGACTCAGACTTGAGTTAGAAGAAGAATGGAGCACTTATGGGTTACCACCCGTGTGCAATGATGTTGATCCGTTGTTTAAAACCTCAAACCTATTCCGTGTCCTGGTCATATTATTGGCCTACATTTTATGTGTACAGGAAGCGACCTCATGTTTGTAAACAAACATTGCCAAACTGTCTCGGTATCTTTTATCTGTTCTGATTATAGACCTAACGCTGCGACTACTAATACTTACTCTACTACACTAATTTTAACTACTGCTAGACGATTAACTTCTTGTTTACAAGAACAACTGGTGCATATTACTGAACGTTAAATATATCAGGTTCATAAGACATATGACTCGTAAGCCAGCATACCCCGATCGAAACCCACTGCAGGCTGCGTGGATTTTTATCGTGGTATGGGACGTCGCAGGTCGACCCAGCCTAAAATGGGTACCAGGATGGGCTGTCCTGGGAAAGTAAAGACAGCCGGCGTAATGCTGACCACATTACCCACAGAGTGCTGATGGTCTGTAAAAATATGGGACGCTCTGCCCATATGCCCGATGCGCCGAAAGGCGTGAAAAGGGATCTTTACTTACATAAGACATAATAATGCTTTTCTAAATCACTATAAACATTATAAACACACACAATTAGTAAATTATTAATTACACAATGATTAATACAATCGGCTCTCCTCCGAATAACGGTCCCAAATGATCTACGCAGAACGTAAACATACAATCATTTTAAAAGTGCACTTAAAAATAGTGAACTTAATTCAGAATCTATGTATATTCTTGAAATCTGTTACAATGATTACATTATTTATTCCATATTGAACAATCAAACCTACAATAAATAAATAAAAACACGTAAATAATAATATATTCTGCTAAACTATATCCGGTCCTTCTATTAGTACTTCTGTCAGACCTATATTATAACCATATAACCCTGAGGGTTGAACAGGATTGTTTTAAATTACTACTTCTACCACCACCACCGTCAGACCACCCGCTTCTTGTTCACAAGAATTAATAACCCTGAGTGTCGAACCGGANAGAGACCGAGCTTCTTTCAGGCAGACTGTGAGGAGAGCGACGTTCTGCAAAGGACCTGCTACATGATGATGATTGAGAAATATCCGGCAGCGAGAGTATACATTAATTGTTGTTATTATCAGGGTTTTACTGAAGTTTGTGTATTGAACCATCTAGTAGCAGATATATTGGTGGGATCAGTAAAGGGAGCCACAGTGCCTAGTGAGAAAGAGATTGAGGACTGGTACCATAAGCGCGTTGGAGTGGCAAACGCTGTAGTTACAAGAACACAGCTAGTTCGCGAAAACAAAAAAGCGATACTTCTAAAAGGTAAAGGTAAAGTCTGGAGAGGTGAACATGCGTCATTGCAGACGGTTATAAACCATAGGTGCTCTGCCACCAATACAGACAGCTGATAAGGAGGTGTCCGCCTGTGTCACCGTTTGCACGTAACTCCGTAGCTACAGCTACGTTCCTCCATTTACCTCAGAGTGTTAACTCTGGTACCCACTTCCTAAAGGCTGGGTGAACCCCGGAAACCGCCCGGTTTCGAACACCGGTTGTGGGCTGCAGCGAGTCACAGCTGGATTTGAAAGCGAATCTCCTATCAACTGCGCTAACGATGGGGACGAAGATTCTAACAAAAAGCAGATGATTGTTGAGTCTGAAATAACCAGTTCAGAACAGCAGCAAACCCAGAGCCATTCCACTTTCATTGTCAATCAGAAAGCAGATCCAAGTTTGGAAGAGGCAATCGAAACAGTTACAGACGAAAATGAAAAGATTGCGGAAGCATCTTTTTGCCATGTGATTGAAGAGTCTATGGAGAACGAACGAACGAAAGAACTTTATTTTCAAAGGGTCACAAATTGGGCACGCGGGCCCACTTACATTCGGCCCTTCCAAACACCCGTCTTTCACACTGCAGATGTATTTTATCAATAAACATGTTATATTCATATGATAATATGCATATTATGAATATCCAAAAAAAAAAATTTTTTTTTAAAGCACAAACGCATGGGTGGTAAAATGCATGCACACACACCCACCCACCCACTCACTTAAACACCCCCACATACCTTCACATAAACACGCCCCATTCACCCACATACACACCTAAATACCCACACAGACACGCACATTCCACACACACACACACACAGACACACCCATAGAAACAATTGCAGACACACACACACATACACACCCAACAGACATACGCGCACATACCCAATCACACACGCAGATACACAGACACAAACATGCGACACACACACAGAGAAACCGGCATACACACACACGCAGACACATATGCACAAACACACGCAGACACAAACACACAGATACACTGGGAGACGCACAAACACACACACAATCACAGACACACACACGCGCGCTGATGCTCACGCAGACACACACACACAACCACACACACACACACACACACACACGCAGAAGCATGCGCAGGCATTCAGAAGGAGAACGAGGACGTAAAACTCTAAATGCATCTGCCCCATCTGATAATCAAAGAGTCCTAGAAAAATGTTAAAATATTCAATGCTTTTCCAGCAGATTACGACTTGGCAAGAGTTGGTTGAGGGCCTATGTTCCATTGTGGGATAGAAAGGCAGAAGAAGAAGGTTCCATAAAATTAAAGCTAGTGACACATAGCCTTTTTCAAAACCTCTTGGTTGCTCTTTTTGGCTGTCAGATGTATTCAGAAGATTCATTACAAGAAGAATTATTCCAGAAGGTTACCGCAGTCAAATCTGTAGAATGCTGGCCAAATTCGACAGTACATTGACTGACATAACAGGCAGAACAACAGAAGCAGTGCACAAAATAGAGTTGTTAGACAGCCATCCAATACTCAAACCATATCAGACACCAGTTCATTATCAAACATCAAGGATTTGGTAAAGCTGCAAATCATAGAACCGTCTAGTTCACCGTATTCCTTCCCGATGGTTATAGTTCGGAAGATAGATGGGTCAGTCCGACTGCATTGATTTTGTAAGTTAAATCAGATTATTGTTGTTGATGCAGAAAGTGTACCCATTATGGAGGATTTGTTTAATTCCTTGGGCAAGGCTAGCTCTCAAATGCTCCGCCCACGTTCACTAGACTCGTTATGATGTTGGTTCAGGCAAGTGCTAATGCCATTCATTACTTGGATGACCTACTATTGTTTGATAAAAATTTGCAAGACCATATACATGGGTTGAGAACCATGTTAGAGCGCATCAGAGAGTTTGGACTCACAGTTAGACCTACAAATGTTGAGGTAGCTATGGAAAAGATTACCTTCCAGGGGCACATTATAGGAAAGTTGGCGAGAAAACCCGTACCAGCAACTGTAGAGAAATTCTTGAAGCTTCCTGTTCCTTGCACGAAGACAGAAATAAGAGCTTTATTGGGCTCGGGAGATTTTACTCTAAGTTCATCCCACATTACTCAACTATCACAGCTACACTGTCTTCCTTAACTAGGAAGGGTATGCCAAATAAGATAAAGCGGACAGAGCAATGCAACTTACAATGTTCATTCACTTGTAAACCATTATTCCGTTTACTTGACTTGACGTTTGAATGTTTTATGCGACGCCTCTGACGTCGGACTGGAGCATGAAGGATTCTTACATCCAGTCTTGTATGCTAGCCGTAAGTTGGCCCAGGCAGAAACCAGATACTGCGTCGGACAAAGTGGGGCCATGGCAATTTACTACGGCGTCTCCAAGTTTGCAAACGTTCTACACTGATTTAGATTTGCCATTTGGACATACCATCAGCTATTACAAGTCGGGGTACATTTTACGCTGGTCTCCGCATTTGCACACCGCTACGCACTAGCTAGCTTCTGATTGGACGACCTACTGACCACCTCACCCTGATAGGTCGGGCTCGAGCGATCCGACTTTCACACAAGGTCATGGGGATTTTCCTCACTTGCGCTCATACCTCGTGTTGTATATTTCACCATGCTAGAGCTTTTAACACTTCTAAAACATTTAGATACTGGGTCTAACACACAACCCCTAAAGCGTGACAAAACCTATGTCACATGCTGTCTCTTTCTCGGAAATAAAAACGTAAATACCAGACAACAACAGACTGCGACACCCATAACCTCGACCATGGTAGACTAGTTCAACCAACCTATCAATGGAGTTGACCTACATCTGGCGGTGTTAAATGGGGAGACCATCGTAAAAATAACCCAAGTCGGAAAACGTGACCCGATATATCAATGACTCAGTGAATAAGACATGAATCACACACCACACCCGTTAACAACAGCAAAGGTAAAGTGACCTTCTTGTGTACAAACCGAAACAAACTGCACTGTGTATTATAGGTAGCGTCGGGAAACAACATCTAATACACCCACAGTTTCGAAGAAACTTGCAGGACCAGTTTAGGGAATTTTTTCAACATTATTATTAAACGGCGTCCTAAACAGCTTCCTGGTTTATTCATTATTATTAATTTATTAATTAATTGTGCTATCTTTTGTTTAAACACGTATGTGCGTGCTCGTGCACAGCTTCCATTCCGGACTCATCTCTTGTTTACAGCACTTGACTATCATCTACACACAGGGAAGTCGCCGTGGCCTAGCGGCTAATTGCTCGCGTGCTTTCAGTTATAAGCGT